TATATATATATATATATATATATATATATATATATACATTCACCAACGTGTTAAAAGCTAAGGGGTTTATTTTTGCCCAAGTGAACCAGGTGTTTGCGGGTAGTGAGCAGGGGCTGGGGATGGATAGGATCTTTGCCAAGAATTTCAGAAACTCGAATTGGTTGCATCGTAGTGGGAATCGTTTCACTTTTGCCCTTTGGCCTTGGAGCCATTTTTCTTTCTACAAACATGGTGTCACATGGATTCTCCTGCCATAGAAACCTCTTCATCCTAGAAGCCTACTCCCCCTCTGGACTTCACACATTGGAAATCCTCTTGCCCCTTTCCTTCCCCCTGCCTCAAGAATCACTTGGGTGGTGCAGTGGATAGAGTGCTGTGCCTGGAGCCAGGGAGACCCAAGTTCAAATTTAGCTTAAAGACACTGTGTGACTGAGCAATTTACTACTTCTGCTCCGTTTGCCTATAGAATGGGGGTAATTTCACCTACCTCGCAAGGTTGTTGTGAGGATCAGATGAGATGTGAAGTGCTTAGCACAGTGCCTGGCACAAAATAAGCTCTATGTAAATGCTTGTGCCCTCCCCCTTCCCCTTCCTATTGGACCCATGCTTAGCTGGTTCCTCGAGAACTTCCATTTTAAGGAGGACATACAGGCCAGCCACATCTTCATTCGCTGTAGGCTGTTCTCCTGGCTCTCTGGACCTTCTCTACCACGTCATAGAAACCCAGAAGCGCACTACCTCCCTGGACTTCACACATTGGAAGAACCATGCCCCTGAGCTAGGTACCTCCATCCCCCTGTCTCCTGCTCCCATCTTCTTTTTCTGTTGTTGTCTTCCCTGTTAGAATGTAAGCTCTTTGAGGGCAGGGGCTTTCCCTTTCTGCTTGTACTTGTATTCCTAGCCCTTAGCCTCTAACTGCCTATGAAGGGAAAAAGAAAATCAGTTTATCAGAACTAGCCAAACATCATTTATCTGCCAGGGTATGCACTGTTCCCTACTCAGAGTTTCCCACCTTGTTAGGGGGAGACAGGGGAGAGGATTTTCTCAGGTCTTTTCTGGGGCTAAGCTTCATGATTATTATAATTATACAATATTCAGTTTCCTAAAAATGTAGCTAATTAAATGCACATCATGGAGGTGAGTGAAAATTTGCATCGGAAACTTTAGCTATATGTTGTCTTAGCTGTACAGATTTCAGCTCTGAACATTTGCTGGATAACTGTTTCTATTAACGTGTAAATATTACACCTCCCACTGAGTCTCCTCTTTGCCCAGCTCTGTAACTTAAATAACAACTTGGGGGAAGAGCACTTGTGATGTTTAGTATCTTGATTTATAAGATAGTATACCCCCCACCCCTTTGTCATTGCACATGTCCCCCCTTCCAAAACAAGTACCAAGTTTTTTTTTAATTTTTTTATTAAAACAAATACATAATAGGAAAAGAAAAAGAAACATTATAAACTTATATAGTAAAACTTAAATATAAAATAAGAAAAGAAAAAAAAACATGACATGTTCACAGCAAAACATAAGATAGGATTCAAAATATACAGCAGTAAATTTCCATTTTGAGAAAGCCTATATATTAAATACTATGAATTGTGTTGAGAGCTGTCCATCTTTTCTTTGCTTCCTTGTAGGTTTTCTTTTGTTCTCTGCTATTCACTTTTTACCCTGTTCTTTTTTCTCCTCCCCCCGCCCCGCTCCAGGCTACAATTAAGCATGGTTATATTTATATATAGATATAAGTACAAAGTTTAAAAGAGTAAAATCCACAATATCAGCTGAGAACATGGTAATATCATATTTTAAACATGAAAACAATTAGGAAAAAATTGTAAGTAGCTCCTTCAGTATGCAGAGACCTACACCATATATCTTTGGCAAACTAACAAGCCCAAAGTATTTAAATAGTGTTTACATCCGCCATATTCCAAAGAATGCTTGTTTTACCTTTTCTGTCCCCATAAAAGAAGACTGGTCAGACTGGATTTAGAGCAATACCGGAGCCTCTCTCAAGCCAAGCCCAGCCTAGCCCACTGTGAATGGAAGATGGAAAAACAGTTTCTTTAATCATTTTTTCTTGAGAAGTTCCCAGTGTCTGCAAGGCTCTCCCAGGTGGTCTTAGGACTGCTTTCCCATGGCATTAATATTTATCATTTTGTTTTGGGGCATGTTATAGTGATTTTCTTGCCCTGATCAATAAAGGACATACTACCTTCATAGATTCTCCTTTCCAGCAGCACTATTCTTCCCACTAATTGGGGGGGATTTTATTAATAGTGGCAGGTGAAAGACAGGTGACCAGTGAAGTCCTTTGTCCTGGAAAAGAAGTCATTGGGAAGACAGAGTTGAGCAATTACTGTACTGGGACTGAGGCTGATCTTGATTCTTGAATTGGTCAAAGGAATGCAATGTGATTCCAAAGAGTCCCATGTTTTCCCAATGGGCTTCCATATGGTATGTCTTAAATCTCATCAGCTAACTCACTTAATTCTGTACTTTACAAATCATTCCATTGCACGATGTTTCTAATTTTCTTGTTAGGAGGGACATAATAGCTGTCTTCAAGTATCTGATGGGCTATAATGTAGAAGAGGGGGAAGATTGATTCTGTTTGGCCCCACTGAGAATTTTCTCACTGAAAGCTCCCTAGAAATGATTGGTCTGGCATAAACAACAACAAATGTATATCTTGGATTGTAATGTAATCTTGGTTTGAAGGAGCAATGCGTCACTATTAAAAAGAGGAAAATTTAGGCTCAATGTAAATAAAAATTTATTGCAATTCATGGTATCCAAAATGGCAGTTGACTACCCCAGTTGTAATGGGTTCCTCCTCATGAAATGTCTTCAAAGGACACTTGTTGAATATGTTATAGAGGGGAATCTTGTTCGTGGATGGGTGGGATGAGGTGGTCTCCCAGGTCCTTGCCAAATCTGAGATTCTGTGATTCCCGTTATCTACTTCACCCTTGCCCCTAAATGAGGATTTCACATGGAGAAATCTACCCTTCAGAGGCAGCATGGCCTAGTAAATAAAGTCAGGAAGACCTTGGTACCCATCCTATCTTGGACACTTGAATGACTCTGGGGAGGCCCCAACCTCCCTGAGCTTCTGTGTCCTCATTTGTCCAATGGAGATAACTTGTGAGGATCAAGTGGGATAAGGGAATGAATGCATGACATTAATAAAGTGCTTGTTAAGAACTTACTACGTGCAAAGCACTGTGCTAACAACTGGGGTTACAGTAGAAGAGTAAGGCAGTTCTTGCCCTCGAGGAGTTTACATTCTAATAGGGAGATAATACCTATGGAAAATAATCTATGTAAACTGTATTGTAAACTTAAAAGTGCTTTATAAGTGTTAGCTATGTTAAAAATGATTATTACCCTCTGCTTAAGTGCAAAATGGCTTAGTATTTCTCCTAAAGATCTTCATTTAAAGGGGCAGCTAGATGGCGCAGTGGATAGAGCACATCCTTTGAGTAGGGAGGACCTGAGTTCAAATCTGACCTCAGACCAAAACACTTGACACACTTGCTAACTGTGTGACCCTGGGCAAGTCACTTAACCCCAATTGCCTGAATTTAAAAAAAAAAAAAAAGTTTTATCAATGCCTTTTGTCTTTATATCCTATCATTTCTGGATTGGAGGGGAACTTCCTTTCCCCTCCAGATTGAACACTCAGTGACAATAAAAATTAAGCAAAGACATCAACATAGTGACTGTATCTGACAATGCGCCCAATGTTCTGTCTTTAGTCATCTCCTACCTCCTCCTTGTGAAGAGGGAGAGATGTTTCATTATCTGGTTTCCTGAACTAAAGACCGTTTTTTGGTGTTTGGTAATACCCCACTTCCTCCCCTGAAGTCCTTTTCTGATAGCTCATTGTGGCTGGAGGTGCCTGAACTGAGAGTATCAAAAATGGTGACTGGGAATCTGAAAATTGCAGAATGGAAAGACTTTGGGTATAGGCCGTGCTTTGTGGCTGTAGTTCAAAGGCCAGCTGAGTGGAGAATGGAGAGGTTTCTCATTTGGTCATTGGCCACCAGAAGACAAATTTTCAGGAGGCCACAACCCCTAACAAAGAGAGTCAAACCAAATCAGAGGAGCTGACATCACTTTGGGTAAAAGGAAGCCCCACACTGATGGAACCAAGGATCTATGAAGTAAGTATTAATATCTACTCTTACCAAGCATTGAGATTTTTCTTTTTGGGGTGTTGTAGTGGAGGAGCAAGCATGGTGTCACGGACAAACAGATTGCATGTGGAGACAAGACTTGGATTTGACTTCCAGGTCTGCCCTTGTTAGTGGACCTTGGACAAATTATTTCCCTCTCTGGGCCTCAGTTTCCTCATGTGTCAACTGACAGGGTTGCACTTGATGACCTCCAAAGGAGTTTTCCGTGTTTAGGTGATTTTGGAAGTCAGTGTCAAAGCCTTCTGTGCGGTGAATAAAACAAAAATAGGAATCTTAAGATGAAAAGCTCATACATTTTATACCACAGGGGAGAGTCAGCATCAGGCCAGAACCTCGTGACTTGGAATTGGATGTCAAATTTAAGTTACTGATTTAATGAGCTTGTTTACCCAGTTTTTCCTGGCAACCTTCAGTTCTTCTGAGGCTAGCACAGACAGGGCGGCCGTGGGGAGTGAGGTTTAGAAGTAAGGTGTGATAACTGTAAAGTGGGAAATAATAGTGTTGGCTTTGGAGTCAGAAGGCTGGGGTTTTCTGGATTCTGCCTCTCACAGGGACTACCTGAGTGACCTTAGACAGGTCACTTGACCTCACTGGGCTTCAATTTCCTCATCTGTAAAATGGAAAGGGTTAGACTCCATGACCCATAAGATCCCATTCAGCATTAAATCTATGACCCTTTGACTTTTAACTATTATTACTAACAGGCCCATAATTTAAATGCACTGATGGATAAATGGTGTATATGTTTTATTTTTTGAGACTGACTCTCCCTACCTCACCCAGTCTGCAAGGGCAGAGGCCACTACTTAAATCAGGATTCCGCCTACTCTCTTTTCCTGACCTGGGCCTGTCCTGGGGTCCCACCCTATTGGTGTCCTATTTCATGAGGACACGTGATTGTCTTGAGTCTTACTTCGCCTCAGAAGTTCCAAGTTCAAGCAGTCTACCAACTTCTACCTCAGGAACCGATGACCTGGGTCCCCGTGCCCCACATATACTGTTGTTGTCCCTCATTCTCAAAGAGGACCAAAATGATATCACTTTGCACATGTACATGCAAACACAAAAGAATACACTAAAATATTCATAGCTCCTGAAAATGAAATGTTCCTCTCCTTCATGAAAGATGCCTTCATTCCTGAAAATGGCTCGGAGTCAACACTGACCAGATTTTATCCTTCACTCCCTGAGATTCCACCCTCCTCTAATGTGTTTTCTTCTTCTAACCTTCTGTTCGCTGTCCAAGACGATCTTCCTAGGCTTAAAGGATCGTTATTTACTACCCTGGGTATGTACCTGACTGTAGATGGAGGAGACCATTGGGATGGAATTAAAAAGAAAATCACCCATGAAGTGGCAGCATATGGGAGTTTTAATTCCATGTTCCTCCAAAAACCCTAAGGGAACATGCTGGCAGTCCAGTGGTTGCATATGGTCTCTCTCATACCACCAGTTGCTATAGCTCCAGCATGTTGGCATTTGGTCCGATATGTTGAATTAGTGTCCTCTACCTGGCAATTCTAATTATTTGCTCATCTCTTAAAAAAAAAAAAAGCAAAAACATCATCAGGACTACAAAAAAGCTGCCTGTCCAGTTGAAAATAGTTCAATTAGAATAAAGAAGTTAGATGGCAGGATACCCAGCAGCCTTAGTGGTCGTGATGCCTGCCTCAGAATGAAGTGGCCTGCACTGCTGACTACTTAGGGAAGATCTCCATTCAAACCACTAGGACCTTCATGGAACTCCAACAGCTGTCTGGTGAGCCCTGGACTGGCTCTCCATCAGTGTTGTGCAGGTTGGTGTCTGACCTTGGTCGCAGGCCTTTTCCACCCTAGTAAATGGAAGTGCCTTTCCTACAGTGGAGGACAATGTTGTTTTTAACATTGCTCTTTTTTTAAAATGTTAATTGATTTGTGACCACAGAAGTGAGAGTATGTTGCTGGGATTTGGATGAAAGAATAAGTAGATGCATGAATGAATAAGCATTTATTAAATGCTTACTTTTTGTCAAACACTATGCTAAGTGCTAGGGTTACAAATAGAAAAATCAAGACAGTTGCTACTCTCAAGGAATTCCATATTCTAATTGAGGGTGACAACACATAAAAGAGCGCAGCTACAGGGTGGATGGAAAGGCCCAAAAGTCCTCAGGCACCTGCAAGAAGGGCTACTATTGATTTTATCAATATAGAAAGGACCATTGCCCATTTCTGTTCACTTGCAATTCTCTTCTAGAACAGGCTGATAGAGAAATCTTGAAGTCTTGACATTATTTGCATTTTTAATTCAGTTCAAACATTGACCACATTCCCATCTATGGCACAGAGCTTTAGCAAATGAGACATTGTGGGTGCCTTCAAGGAACTTAGAAACTGTTGGTTCTAGAGAGACAAGAGCTGCACACAACAAACTGAGATGCCAATTAGAACATGATAGAAAAGCCAAGGGGAGCCAAGATGGTGGAGTAAGAAGTAAGTTGCTCTTACCCTCCCTTATCAACCTCTGAAAGCCCAGAAAATATCACCCCAGGAAAAACTCTGGAACAGCTGAACCAGAAGAAAGATGGGGTACAGCAGTCCAGTAGCCCAAGTAGCTTGAGGGATTAATGAGAAAGGCCCCTCTTGCCCTGGGGGAAAGGGAGCAGTACAAAACAGGAGGCATCCCAGCAAGCTAGTGGAAAGCCCCACCTCAGCAAACCAGGAGGAGATCCTGAAACCCACAAGGTGGAGCAGGCAAACACCAACACCTGGACCCCTGAGTGCCTCAGTGAGGGCAAGAGAACTAGTGGAAACCAGCTTGGAAAACCACAAGGTGCCCCAGCATTGTACAGTAACCGGCTCTCCCAGTACCTCAACAAAACTAAAGGAAGCAGCGCTCCAAGGGGCCCCAGGCAGATAAACATCCTGCAACATCCATTTGAAAGGAGCTGAAGAAAGCAAAAGGAAGGAAAGGTGATAAGGAAATCTCCAAGAGCCACACTACCCAATCCTACCCCTAGAGTTCCAGTGTTGCTGATTCCAGTCCAACACCAGGTAAGCTATCAGAACCCTACAGCCTCTAATTGCCGACATCGGAGGCCCCAGGAAACAAAGCCAGTAACCAGGGGCCTAGGCTCCCAACACAAAAAGCTTGAGTCGGTGCCCTCTGCTCCCCAGCAGGAGAGCTCAATCTCTTTAAAGGCCAGGAAATAAGCAAACACGAAACGTATGATAGATTCATATTATGAGAACAGTGAAGATCAAGGCAGAAATTCTGAAGAGGACAACATTGTCAACAAACCCACATCTGGAACCTCAAAACAGAATGTGAACTGGTCTGAAGCCCAAAAAGCCTTATTAGAAGAGCTCAAGAAAATTTTAAAAGTCACATGGGAGAGGTAGAAGAAAAAATGGGAAAAGAAATGAGAGGTATGCAAGAGAGAGTTAATAGCTTGGAAGAAGAAGGACAAAAAAAAGAAATTAACTGTAGAAAAGGCAAGAATTCCCAGGAGAAACTGATAGCTTTTGGTTTGAAGAATGGAGCCTTCCCTGGGTAGGATTCAGGCTTCTCTTTGGAGTGTGTTACGGTCAACAATTAATTTTCTTTTTTTTTTTTTTTTGCTTAGGCGGTTAGGGTTAAGTGACTTGCCCAGGGTCACACAGCTAGTAAGTGTCAAGTGTTTGGTCTAAGGCTGGATTTGAACTGAGGTCCTCCTGACTTCAGGGCCACTGCTCTATCCACTGCGCCACCTAGCTGCTCCAACAATTAATTTTCCCGAGACTGATGAAATAGTCTAAATGCCTTGTTGAAAGTCACTGATTCTCCTTTCTCCCTGTTGTACCCACATTTTGGGCCAGGTAATTGCTCCTTAGTAAAGAAAGTGGAGGGTCAAAAAGAAGGCAAATCAAGCCTAGGATCACCTAACTGCTTATTTTTAGACATGCCATGGGGGATAGACGTCAACACTGATAGGCCACAGTCAGAATTCTTAAACTTTTGAGTCAGGGTTGTTGTAAGATTCCAGGGCAAAGAGTAGGTCAACATGAGCTTATGATAAATTATTAGGATGAAAACAGATCAAAGTGATAATGTTTTTGAGAATAAAACAGGTACCATTTTGGAGTTATTTCATAAAGGGAGAGGCACTGTGGTTGAGCAACTTACTTTGGAGTGAAGAGGACCTAGATTCAAGACCTGCTTCTGACATATATGGGCTCCATGAACTTGGTCAAATCAAATGGCAGAAAGTTGCTTCTCTTCATTGGTAGAGGCAACTGGCATACTATGAATTGCCTACAACAATCAAATCACAGATCTGAACCTCTCCAGCTCCCTCTCATCATTTTTTAAAATTTGTGTAATTATAGCATCTAAAACAACTTCAAGTCTTTAAACAAAGACTGGATGACATTTGTCAGGTACACTGTAGAGTAAATATTTGGGAAAGGAGGTTTTATTATCATCCACGGCTTTCATTTCTTTGAGCCATCTTTTCCCTTAGTGAGCATGTAGAACACAGTGTTATCTGTGATGAGATTAGTGAAATCAGGTTGAGGGTAACCAATAGATGAGTTAAGGGAATGTCTACCCCAAGCAGGTGAAGACTTCCCCTGGTGAAATGGGCAGATGAAAACACATTGTTGCAATGGCCATGAAAGCAGCTGAAGGAGGCACTATGGGGCACTTAGAGCTTGGTCAGACATTGAGGAAGCCGGGGTCATCCACTGCGTCCTGGGCCATTTTGTCTTGCTGCTGGACTTTGGTGATTTTGGAAGAGAGAGAGGCTGATGACTTTGTGCAACTCTGCTTCACTTAAATCCAATTCACGAGCAAATCAAGACATCACCCTGTGATGTCATTATGGGTCCTCTTTGAAAATGAAGAAGGAACAACAACAACAGTCTGTATGTAGTAGACAGATGCCATTGGATCATAGATGTAGAGCTAGGGGGACCTTCAGAGGTCATAGAATCTAACCCACTCATTT